TGAATAAATAATATTCTGTTCTTTTCTGCAAATTAAATGTTTTATATTTATGAATTAGCTTTTTTTCTGATGTGTAATTTCCATTACCCAATTTTTAAAATTATTCCTTTGTTCACATTCACTTAACAATGTAAATTATAGTACAAATGTACATGAATATTATAATGGAGAAACCCATTACCCTGTCTTCCCTCCGTCTTGTTCGACTTTTCAATACAGAATAGTTAGCAATAATTAAACATAAGAATATAAGAAAGAAGGAACACTGCAACAGGCCTACTGACCCATGCGGAGCAGGTCCATATCCCCCCCGGATTAGCCCAATGACCTACTCAGTCTGGTCACCTCCACTCAAGGATGAAGCACTGCACCAGACCCAGCAGCACAAGCTAGTCAGGTCCAACTCACATCCACCCACACCCACTCATGTATTTATCTAACCTATTTTTAAAACTACACAACGTTTTAGCCTGAATAACTGTACTCGGGAGTTTGTTCCACTCATCCACAACTCTATTACCAAACCAGTACTTTCCTATATCCTTCCTGAATCTGAATTTTTCCAACTTGAAACCATTGCTACGAGTCCTGTCTTGGCAGGAAATTTTCAGCACGCTATTTACATCCCTTTTATTTATTCCTGTTTTCCATTTATACACCTCGATCATATCCCCCCTAATTCTACGCCTTTCAAGAGAGTGCAGATTCAGTTCCCTCAGTCTATCCTCATAGGGAAGATTTCTGATACATGGGATCATCTTTGTCTTCCTCCTCTGTACATTTTCCAGATCATTTACATCCATTCTGTAATACGGTGACCAGAACTGAGCAGCATAGTCTAAATGAGGCCTAACCAAGGATATATAGAGTTGAAGAACAACCTGAGGACTTCTATTATTTATACTTCTAGATAAGAAGTCCAGAATTGTTAGCTTTATTGGGAACACTAATGCACTGTTGTCTTGATTTTAGATTACTGCTAACCATTACTCCTAAATCGTTTTCGCAATCAGTAGTATTAAGATCTACATTATTTAGTTTATATGTGGCATGGTTATTTAACTGTCCAACATTTAGAACTTTGCATTTGTCAATACTAAACTGCATCTGCCACTTCTCCGACCATTGCATCATTCTATTCAAATCATCCTGGAGCCTCCTAGTGTCCTCATTAGAATGAATTGGACGGCCTATTTTGGTGCCATCAGGAAATTTGCTTATGTCGCTATTTATTCCCTCATCTATGTCGTTTATGTAAATTGTGAACAACGGACCCAACACTGACCCCTGAGGAACACCGCTTGTGACGTGCCCCCATTCTGATTTCGTCTCATTTATGCAAACTTTCTGCTGCCTATTTGTCAACCATGCCTCTACCCAGGAAAAAATTTCTCCTCCTATTCCATGTGTTTTAAGTTTCCTCAATAGCCTCTGGTGTGGAACTCTATCGAAAGCCTTACTGAAGTCCATATACACAATATCATATTCATTACCATGATCTACCTCAAACACCTTAGTGAAAAAAGTTAGTAAATTCGTAAGACATAAACGCCCCTTTGTAAAACCGTGATGAGATTCATTAAACAATCTGTGCCTATCAAGATGGCTACGAATTGCTTCGGCAATTATTGATTCCATAAATTTTCCCACTACTGAGGTAAGGCTTATTGGCCTATAGTTCGAAGCCAAGGACCTGTCACCTGCCTTGTAAATAGGTATAACATTTGCCATTTTCCATTTATCAGGAACAATGCCAGTTTGTAGTGATATGTTAAAAAAAATTAGCCAAAGGTATGCTAAGTTCCTCTTTTCATTCCTTTAATACCCTTGCAAACAGTTCATCACTGCCTGGGGATTTGTTAGGTTTTAGCTTCTCTATTAGTCTGAGGACCATGTCAATAGTTACCGCAATCGTACATAGTTTATTATCCTGTTCTACATAATCTATTATTTGAGGAATATCGCTAGTATCTTCCTGGGTGAAAAAATGAGAGGAAGTAGGTATTGAGAATTTCACACATATCCTTATCACACTCAGTGATCTGACCAGAGTTACTCTTAAGTGGGCCAATCTTATCCTTAATCTTTCTTCTGTATACCTGAAAGAACCCTTTTGGGTTAGTCTTTGAATCCCTTGCGACCTTAGCCTCATAATCCCTTTTTGCTTTTCTTATTCCTTTCTTTATTTCTCTCTTTAATTGAATATATTGATTTCTTAACTGTCCATCCCCTCTTTTGATACGCCTATATATGCCTCTCTTTTGACCAATGAGATGTTTTAATCTATTGTTCATCCATTTGGGATCATAATTGTTAGATCTAATTTCCCTACTCTGAACAAAAGTTGTCTGGGCAGCTAGAACTATGCTCTGAAAAACGTCATATTGGTAACCAATATCACCTACCTGACCCATAGTCAGGACTTCCCAGTTTAGCCCACCCAGGTAATTTTTTAGTCCCATGAAGTCGGCCAAGCGAAAATCTGGGATAGTGATTTGATTGCAGTTATCTGGGTAATTCCATGATACATTGAAACTAAGTGATTTGTGATCACTTTCCCCGAGCTAATCATTAACCTTAAGATTATTAATTAGTGACTCTTTGTTGGCAAGAACCAAGTCAAGCAGATTGTTTCCTCTAGTTGGTTCTGTCACAACCAGTTCTAAAAAGAAATCCTGAACCGTATCAAAAAAGTCACTAGACTCAAGATTTCCTGCCATATTGTTCCAATCAATCTGTTTAAAGTTAAAATTTCCCATTATCACAACATTTTCATATCTAGATGCCTTATGAATTTCATCCCATAACAGCTTACTGCACTCTCTATCAAGGTTCGGGGGCCTATAAATCACACCCAAAATTAATTTGTCACGACCCTCGAGAAACTGTAGCCAAACAGATTCTGTGTTCGATGCTTCTAATCTTATATCATGTCTAAGACAATTTAATTTTTCTCTGACTTACATCGCCACTCCACCACCCTTCATGTTGACCCTATCAGTGTGGAATAGTTTATAACCCTGTATGTTGCATTCATAAGGCATTTCTCTATCTTTAAGGTTGAACCAGGTCTCTGTTATACCAATAATATCTATATTACCTGCACTTGCAAGTAATTTTAGCTCATATCTCTTATTTCTTAGATTCCTACTATTTGTATAGTAAACCTTAAGGGAGCTAGTCACTCGTTGCCCTCTACTATCTTTCTTTGTTTGTTGATCAATTGATTTGCCATTACTAGCAACTTTATTTTGAATATTGTCTTTTAAACATATTCCTGAGGTATCCCGGTAATAACTGCTGTTTTTAACCCTAGTGCTGCAGCCTGATTGTTTCCCACAAACACCCATGCCTCTATAATCTATCAGTTTAAATTCCTAGACAAGTCATCAATTACCCTCTCAACTGAATTGGCTAATGCAACCACTCTATCCCCAGAGAGATGAACCCCATCCCTTGCATACATACCACATTTGCCAAAGAATAGGTCCCAGTTATTAATGAATGGGATTGCAAGTTCCCTGCAGTACCTGTCTAGCCAGCAATTTATACCAATTGCCCTAGACATCCATTCATTGCTCACTCCTTTTCTAGGCAAGATGCTACATGTGACTGGGATCCCTCTCTTAGACTTCTCTACTTCTATGGCTGACCTGTACTTATCCAGCAGCTCCTCTCTCCTGCCCTTCCCAATGTCATTACCCCCAGAACTAAGATAATGGGCTTGTTCCCATTACCTGACATAATATTATCCAACCTACTGACTATGTCACCAACACCAGCTCATGGAAGGCACACTCTCTCTCTGACCTTTCTGTCTCTGTTACAAAATGCACGGTCCATATATCTTACCTGAGAATCACCTATTAAAATATTCTTACCTTGATTAGCAGGGGAATCAGTGGTACCTTCAACCTCACTAACCACTGAAGTACACTCGTCTTGGAGAACAGAGAATCGATTTCCTACCTTCACATCTTCTCTGTTAACTCTCCTCATCTTTCTTCTTCCTGAACTGTGAACCACTTGCCACTTAAAGCGGCTGCCACTATCACTGCTGGTGACCATTTCCTCCTTACCAGCTAAATCCTTCTCACACTCGCTCCCAAACTCATCTATGCGAAGTTTCAGCCTCCTATTTTCCTCCTGAAGAAGTAGAATCTCCTTCAACACTTGAACCTGAGATTCTAAAACACTACAACAAGCCATGGCGCTTGGTAACAGCCCACGCTAACTCCCAAGAGCTTAGGCAGGTATGACCGCAGGTGACCACTGACCTCAGCGCACTGACCAAAGGGTATACTCTACAATAAACGTAGCTAATGTATTCATAACATATCTTCACGGAATTAGTTTCAATGCAGAACAGAATTTTTAGTAAATAATGTCACATTAAATTCGATTATTTTCATTTGTGACAAAATATATACAGTATATACATGAGAATACTTCTCCGAGGATATAGGTCGACACAACTTGCACTAGAGGTGGATCCCATCTTCTGTATATTCGTAGTGCAGCGACATAACCAAATAGCTCTGTATTTTAAGACGAAACTTTAAACTTTCACCAAAGGTAAAACATTATGTAATGATAATTTGTACATACCGGAGCATTTGTTCTTATGCATGTTTTTGTCAATGGCTTTTGGCGTGTATTTCCAGTGTTCTTAAACACAAGCTATTTTGGTGTACTTTCCTGCAAGAGAATTATCTGAAAAAGAGTCAGAATTGTTGATTGGATAAACCTAATAATTAAATGTATGTGTACAAAAAATTAAATTTACAGTTTAGCTGCTTCACAAGGACAAACTCTGTTATGGAGTACAAGCACAGACATACAACTCTTAATTTAAAAAAAAAAATGTTTTTATTTATAAGTGTTTTATGAAAAAAAAATTTAATAGCCTTAGTGTCAGTGGAACGCCTTCCAACTGAACAAAAGAAACTAATGGAAAAATAAATAAATAAAGAAATGATTTAAGGAAAAACAAGATAAAATGATTTTTGAGAATTTTACTTAAAATTTAAATATAATAAAAAAAATATGGCCTTCAATTCAGGTAGTTGGGTAGGAGTAGGTATGGCCCTAGATAGTTCCTCTGATGTTATTTATGTAGGTTATCCTGGGCAGATGGTAATCCGATGTTCTGGAATCTCCTACCACTTGGATGGAGCACAAGTAGTATAGGTAAGGGCCGGTAGTTGTAGAATAATGTTAATAAGTATTATTAACACACGTCTTGCCCCTTTATCTGGCGTCTATCCTGGAAGACCACGCCAGGAACAGAGCTGACAAATAAGAGAAAATAAAACTGGTTACCCATAGTCATGATAATATAACATCTAAGAAAGAAAAAGAATGATAAAGGCCAAAATCATTACTGGTAACCAGCAAACACTAGAAAAGAACAAACAGTAATACTCCTGGTAGATCACCCTACCTGATTAGGAGAAGAGTGGAGGCGAAGTGACTCTCCAAACTTCCATCCACACCAGGTAAGGTCAATATTACCAGGAGTAGAAACTTTAACAAATCGGACACCAGGAACTAGTTTTGCCCCAGCCCGCCAGAGAGGGGGGGGTGTGTGTGTGCGCGCGCAACGTAACTCTCTAATGATTCCTGGTTGCCCGAACAACCTTAACCCCACTTACACCTACTTTTCCCTCACACTTAGCACTAAATGGACTATCGTTTTGTAATATAGACTCATTGATATTAGAATATGTTCTCGTTGGCAAGCTGAGACGTGCATCTTACTCTCTGTGGAACTATGTCTCCAGAGATTTTTTAGAATTAGCGATTTTGTTTTGTGGTTTCATTTCGAGAGACAGTACTATCCAGGTCGAGAGTCTAGATGTATTTTATTCTGTTATCAGCTCACTGACATAGTCAGGATTTGGAAATTGCTGAAGTAAGATTCGTTAAATTAGGAGTTTTTGTTACTATTGGAGGAAAAAGAGTTGTCCTCGGTTAGGTATGTTTATGGTCCTTCTCGTCCTTGCTGATTGCTGATCAGGTCACTTAATTGTCAAAGAAAAGCTATTCTTTAAGTCTCTGATTTAGTAAGATACCTTATTTTCATTTGTCGGTCATATTTTATTTTGAGTCAGTTACACTCACATATTACTCACACATTTATTATATTTATGATAGTACTTTTCAATACAGTGTTTAGCACCATAACTGATAGTCCAGAGCACCAACTGATGGTCAGAGCAATTAGACCCTTTGGTCTCCTTGCTCAGACAGAACCTAATTACCTCCCAATTCTCCCTTCCCTATCCCATCCTCCCCATTCCCACTTTTTCCCTTTCCTTTCCCCTCCCAACCCTGTCCTGTTCGTAGCCTCTGGGGTCCTGCCTTCTGGCATCAAGGTTTCTAGGTGGGGGAAGTGTGCGGGGGTCATCTCGCTCAGTGGGTTCCTCGGGTGTGGTGTAGTTTGGCGTGGAATCTGGTTTATCTGGAGGTGCCCTGCTCCCTTGCCGGATTTCCGAGAGGTGGGGCGGGGTGGCTTGCAGGTGACAGGTTTATTTAGAGGCTGCCTGTCGGTTCTGTGAGGTGGGTGCCGAAGGAGGTATGTTTTGTGGTGCGTTTCCGATCGCCCTATCTTTTGTCCGCCGAGGTGGCTCGGTAAACATGAGGTTTCTATCCCGGAGTGCTAGTTTACTCTCGTGATGGGTTGGGTATGGCACGGGTTCCATGCTACATCTGCACTGCTGACGGTCTCAAGGTCCTCTCGGATGAAAGGAGGGACTTAGGGCCCTTTCATACCCTCTAGTGACTGTCCCTCTGCTGTCCCACTTTTTATTTTTTCTTTCCTTTTTTCTTAGTTTTCATTAAAATAATAAGAAAGAAGTACCACTATCATGGAGTCTTTGTTCCATGATAACCCTCCTCCTCCCAGGCCCCTTTCTGTTACTGCATCCTGTTCTCACCCAGCTTTGTTATTGGACCATTCTCCAGACTTTTCCCATATCCCTGTACCCTTTGCTGGTAACGCTTCATTACCTGCTCTAGGTACTGAGGCTCTGCCCTTTTCTGCTAGTGCTTCTGCCTCTTGCATGCCTTTAGCTATGCGTCGGGCTTCCCACCTACCTCAGGTATGGCCACCCACAGTACTATGCCTAAGCGTTCCAGACCATTTGCTGACGATAGTTCTTCAATGTCTTGATTAAATTCTTTTTCCTACAACTGACATCAACTGATTATCTTTCCAACCACAGTATTGGTAAAACTCTTTTACAACACGTTGGCCAAAATATATCCTTTCACACTCTTCAAAGCACTGCATGTATCGTTACTTTTTCAGAATTCCGAACAAGCTCATGAACTTAACCACCTTATTTCTATTGATAACAGTCATATAACAGTTCACAAGCACATTACTCTCAATTCTTGCAGTGGTACGGTGGTGTTACCGAGTACCATTGTACAGTGTGATTGTCTTGCAGTAATGATATTTGGAGCAATTTGTCCTTCAGGACCTTCCAATTCTCATAGACGATACATATGTCCTGCCCGCTCGTGGGCGGAGATGCTTTCCCAGTAACATCACCCCCTTAACCTCTGTTGGCATGAAGGTAAGGTGTGTCACGGGTTCCACACTGCATCTGCACTGTTCGAGGTCTTGAGGTCCTCTCGGGTGAGACGGAGAACCTTTCATGCCTTCTAGTGACTGTCCCTCTGCTTTCCCTTTTTTTTCTTTCCTTCTTTTTTTTTCCTAAAATAATAAAGAAGTAAACATCATCATGGAATCTTCGATCCGTAATAACCTCCTCCTCCTCCTGCCAGGCCCCTTTTTGTTACCACATCCTGTTCTAACCCGGCTTCATTACTGGACAATTCTCCAGACTTTTCCCATACCACTGTACCTTCTGCTGGTGACGCTTCATCACCTGTTCCAGGCGCTGAGGCTCGGCCCATTGCTTCTAGTGCCTCTGCATCTTGCATGCCTTTAACTATGCGTCCGGCTTCCCTGAATATGGTGCGACAGTTTTCGGATCGCCCACCTACCCCAGATCAGGCCCCCGTGGAACAACTAAATGTACCAGACCATTTGCCAATGACGGTTCTTTGGTATCTGCTCATTCTACATAGAAACGACCTATGTGACACCCACTTCCTTTATGCACCATGTTTATATGTATGCAGTGGACTAAACTGTATTCACTACATCTTACATCTCCAACTGACTGTCTTTCAGACCATAGTATTGGTGAAGCTCTTTTGTGACATGTTGACCAAGTTGTCCTTTCATGCTCTTTGAAGTGGTGTGTGCATCGTTACAGTTCAAATGTAGAACAAGCTCACATCTTCCCCATCTTCCATTGATTACATTCTAATCACAGTCACAAGCACGCTTCTCTCAATTCTTGTTAGTGGTACGGTGATTTTACTGCAAGCCATTGTACAGAGTTATTTCTGTCTTCCATATTTGTGGAGCATCTTAGCCCTTCAAGACCTTCCAATTCTCAAGAGATACATATGTCCGCCGCTCGTGGGCAGAGGTACTTTTCCAGTAAATCTCCGCTTAACCTTTAACTCCCATGAACTCCCATCCCCATCTTTATTGCGAACATCGCCTAAAGGTCCGTTAAAGTGGTTCTTACTCCAAGAATGTTGAATTGCTGCGCTTCGACAACCCGCTAAATTCGCATATCTTTAGTGGATGCTCATTTTGCATGCTATGGATCATAAGTAAAGCAAAGGCCTTACTTATGATATGGCTGTCTCTTGGCTCAGCCTTAAGAAAAATCTTCGTGTTCCTTATTCTCGAGTAGCTAGGAGATCTCCAACCTTGGTGGTCCCCCCGCCTACCACTCCTCCGGTGTCGTGTCTTCTGCGGTCACCCCCATCTCTAATTCTTTTTTGGTTCTACACTATGAAACCCCCACCCCATTGCTTATTCCTACCTCTACTCTTCTCGCCCGTTAGTTTTTTCAGTCTGAAAGGGCCTTGCACACCAGCATCATCTTCGCGCCTATCCCCTGCGAAGTTGAACCTGCCCACATAAGCCCAAGCTACATCGCATACCTCCGGTGCTTACAATTCCCCAACTGTTTTCTTTTTCAGCCTCTGTCCTAGTTTCTCCTCTCTTCCTAACTCTCAACAAAGGTGTAGGTTCACCCCCTCTCGTGTGGTCCCCTCGTCTCCTGGTTCCCACCCAGACTTCTTCTCCAGTACCTTCCAGCCTCCTCCTTTCTTGTTCCACCCAGGACTCTTCTGTCCCTGCCAGCACATCTCCAGGTTCATACTCCCCTTTCCTCCCAGACCTCCTTGGTTCCCTCCACAGTCTCTCCTTTCTCTATTTGCTCTACCTGACCTGTCTCTGAAGTAATGGTATCGGCATCTTCCTTGATCTCGAGAAGGCTTGTGACACAACTTGGGGGTATAAAATCTTAGCCCAACCCACTCCTTAGGCCTCTGCGGTAATCTACCAACTTTCCATACCACGGGCGGGATTTGAACTCGCGGTCAGAGAGTCTCAAAACTCAGACCGTCGCGTTAGCCATTGGACCACTGGACCAGTGGTCCAGTGGCTAACGCGATGGTCTGGAGTTTTGAGACTCTCTGACCGCGGGTTCAAATCCCGCCCATGGTATGGTTTGTATGCAATCGTGTCATTACGATTTCGTGAGTTATCTACCAACTTTCCTTGCTACTTTCTTATCTGCAGGGCCGGATTAAGAAGTCTCCGGGCCCTAGGCTATTCAGATTGGCGGGGCCCCTTTGAGTTACGGGTAAGCGAAGCGACCCCTTCCAGCTTGGGGGTGGGGGGGGGTCGGTGTGAGCCTGTTTAAGGTCTAATTAAATACATTCTGGCTATTTAGATTAAATTTAATAGGGAAAGTACATCAAGACAACCAAAACCATTTACCAACAGCCATTATAACTATCTTGTTAAATCATGCATTTTAAAGAGAATAAACTCAAGACAGCATAGTATTACTAGATAACGTGTAATTACTACAGAAAATTGGAGAGGAATCTCCCATACTCACCCATTAGCGGGAAAACACAGCTGTTCTGATGTAAACAAAGGCGTGTTGAGTGTTGCCATCTATGGTTAGGTTTATTTATTTTTATTTTATTTTATTTCATTATTTATTTTTGTTTTGATTATTTTTTAAAAATCAATTTTACTCTCCAAACACTTGAACTTTTTAGGTAGGGACCCCTTTGCACTTGCACCATGTGCACAGTCTTGGATGAGCCCCTGAACCCCTTGGACCGTGGGCCCCCAAATGCACGGCCCTAGGCAAATGCCTAGTTTTCCTATGCGGTAATCCGGCCCTGCTTATCTGACAGACATTTTCGTGTCCGTGTTGGCGCCTCACTTTCCTCAGACATTGTTCAGGCCGAGGGAGTCCCACAACGTTGTGTCCTTAGCACTACCCTTTTTCTCTTGGCTATAAATGACCTATCTTCTGCTCTTCCATCGCATATTTGGTCGTCACTTTATGTGGATGATTTTGCTATAGATTACGCAGGCGCTGACTGTTGCCTGGTAGCGGCCTCCCTTCAGGATGGCCAAGTTTTCCATTGGGCCACTTCTCAAGAATTTAAATTTTCTAATACGAAAATTAATTTCATTACCTACACTAGACGTCTTCTTGTCCCAGATATTCCGTTGTATTCCAGAATGTGATACAGTCAAGTTTCTTGGCCTTCTCTTCGATCGCCGGTTGACATGGAAACCTCATCTTTCTTCTTTGAAGGCAGCTTGCCATGGTCGGCTGAATCTCCTTAAAATTTTTGCGTATCGTTCACGGGGAGCAGATCGCCGGACTCTCCATTTACATTCCACCCTGGTCTTGTCCAAGCTGGATTATGGCGACCAAGTCTGTTCTTCAGCTTCTACTTCTCTTCCTAAGTTAGATCCCCTTCACCATCAGAGTCTCCATTGATGCCTTGGTGCCTTTTGCTCATCCCCTGTTGAAAGCCTCTATGCTGAGGCGAGTGTTTCTTCTTTAACTGATAGTCGTGATGCTCATTGCCTACGTTACTTTG